CAGCGCAGCCAGTGCAGCACGTCCTCGCGGCTCCAGAGCGCCGGCTGGATCCCTGCAACACAGGACGCGGGCTGGGGGCGGGCCCTCGCTGAAACGCCACCTCCTCCGAGAAGCCCACCCTGAACACTTCTCTGAGCAGGTGTCCTGCTCCCACACCCAGTCATTGTCTCTGCATTGTGTCCTGTTCTTCCCTTCCTGGCACCTTACCTTCTTTGGGTTGCACTTTACATTTGATACGACTATATGTTTATCATCATCTATGTACTTTTTATGTATTCACTTATTTATTTGTGGTGCCCGCAACCCGCCACCCCAGCCTGTGTTCCAATTATTCATTCAACAAACGTGTAACGAGGAACTGCTCTGTGCCAGGCCCTGTGTGCACACTGCATGTGTTCCAGGACAGGGCCTGAATATAGTAGGTGCTTGATAAACACATACTGGATGATGGTATGAACGACCAACCAGCCCCACAAAGAAGGTGTTAGTATTACTGTTTTCCAAATAAGGAAACCGAGGCTCCCAGAGGTTAGGGACCACAGTAGCATGAGGTCCAGCCGGGCAGAACCAGGTCTGTGTGGCTGCTGTTCTCGTCCACTCCGTGGAGACAGCTCAGACCTGGGTTTGCTCAGGGAACAGCCGGGGGGCAGAGGAGTCTCCCCCACCTTCAGTTCGGGTGTCTCCTCCCTGGCAGCCCCCAGCAAGCGCTGCCCCCTCTTATCCCCCGCGCTCTGCCCTGCCTTGGCCAGGCTGCCCGAGGCAACACTGCCTCCCTGACTGGCTGCTCAGCAGGCCCACAGCACAGCACGGCTCTCTCCGGCCCCTTCCTCCACTAAAAATTGTTATTATATTTTATGGCTGCATCAGAATCAGGTGAGTATGCTGTTGTATATTAAAACATTTTCTTCTACCTAAAAGTTTTTTTCTTCTGATTTCAAAAGGAATTGGCATGTTTTCATGGGCCCTCGAAAGTGCTGGGGCCGGCCCTGTGCCCGTGATGAGTCCGCCTGGTGTTTTGCCCTTCGTCCCTCTAGCACCCCCGGCCATGAGAGCGGGAGGAGCTCGGGGCTCACCGGGTCCAGTGTGACGGTAAGAGAATGGAGGCAGCGGAGAAAAAAACTGTCAAAGCCACCCCCCCAGCTCCTGCCCCCCTGCCC